GTGAGAGCTGAACTCTCTTGCCCTACCTTCTTCGAAAAATGGTCTTTGTGGTTCTGTGTTGAAGACAGTTTGTACTTTACCAACTGAGCCTTACCCTCCATGATGCTAGAGATTTCAAGCCAATTAGAAAAGGTTTTCTCCACAATTTCTTTTTCCTCCCTATGAGTTCTAGTCCAAATCCATTCATTCCTGCTTTTCGAAATGTTCCATATTAGAAGTGCAAAAATGCTCATTCTCTCAGTTCTGAGGTGGTCTGCTTTGATTGGACAAAGTTCCATCCACCAGCTTTGAAAGGACACATCCTCATGTTGTAGGGAGTTCCAATGTAAACCTGAAAGCTTCCAACAAGTTACAGCTCTGGTACAGTAAAAGAACATGTGGGATACAATTTCTTCTGCTTCTCCACACACTTCACATGTCCTGTCAGATATGATTCCTCTATGGGCAAGATTATCTTTTGAGCCAAGATGGTTGTTCCAGCATCTCCATATAAAGTTTTTAACTCTGCCTTTAATGGGAAGATGCCAGAAGATTTTCCACATTCTCTTTAATGCATTTGGGTAGCCACTAGATGTAGCCTCTGATTGTTTAGATTTAAAACAATTGAGCACTACTTTATACACTTCTCTAACAGAGAAATTCCTATTCTTGCTCTAATGCCAGATTAGATGATCCCTGCCACCTTGAGGGTGTAAGGGAATATTTAGAATCAGCTCTGCATCCACAGGATTAAATGTTTGAAGAACAAGATCTCTATCCCAAGACATTGTTTTGACAAATAAGATCCTTAACTCTACCCACTCTCTTTCTATTTGCTGTGAAATGGACTCTAGGTTTAAAGGTTGAATTGTTTGAAATCCAGGGAGAATCCCATATTGAAATATCATGACCATTACCTATTTTATACCTAGCCCCTAATTCTAAATATTTTCTAGCCCCCAACCAACTCCTCCAGAGCCATGAATCACTCCCCTTAACCCTAACCTCACTCAGATTTTGATTCGTAAAGTATCTACCCTTCATCACTTCACTATTAAAAGATTGGGTTTGGTGATAAGCCTCCAAAGTTGTTTTACTAGAAGGGCTTCATTAAATGCCTGAAGATCTTTAAATCCCATCCCTCCCATTTCTTTTGACTGCACTAACTTATCCTACCTAGCCCAGTGAACTCTATTAGCCCCATTTTCCTGCACTCCCCACCAAAATTTGAGATGTCCTTACCAATGGTTTTCAACATCCCCACAAGCACCCTGAAACAAGAAAACACATAAGTGGGTAATGTTGACAAAACTGACTCAATGAGTATTTCTTTCCCTGTCTCACTCAGATATTTATTTTTTCAACTTTTTATTTAGTCTTTGTTGAACACTGTCACACCAAAAGAGAACACTTCTTTTTTTTTTCTCCTACCAATACCTAAAGGGTGCTCTAGGTACTTAGTAGTCGTCACTCTAGAGATACCTGAAAACACTTGACAGATGTCAGTCATGGTTTCCTCAGAGGTGTTTTTGGAGAAGAATATGGATGATTTAGCAATATTGACTTATTGACCAGAGTCATTGCCATAATCAGAGAGAATTTTAAGAATTAGATTAGCATGCTGGATAATAGCTTTACAGAACAAAATTGTGTCATCAGCAAAGAAAAGATGAGAGATGGAAGGGGCATATTTACTAATCTTAATGCCTTGGAAATTGGAATGAATTTTGGCTTGAGACACTAAATTTGAGAATGCTTCAGACACTATAATAAAAAGATATGGAGACAGAGGATCTCCCTGTCTCAAACCCCTGGAGGATTTTAAATAGCCAAGACATTTACCATGAATATTAAAGGAGAAGGCAGAAGAACATATACATGCTAGGATCCAAGATATAAACTTATTACAAAAACACATTTTATGCAAAATTCTAGCTACAAAATCCCATTCTACTCTATCAAAAGCATTGGCCATGTCCAATTTAATAGCCATGAAACATTTTTTTACCTTCTCTTTTGCAATTAAGGTAATGCGTGCATTCATTTGCTATTATGACATTGTCAAGAATTTGTCTACCTGGAACAAAAGCGGATTGAGAGGGGGAAATACAAGCAGACAAAACATTTTTTATTCTGTTGGCAATGATTTTAGAAATGAGCTTATAAATGACATTACATAAACTAATAGGTCTAAATTCTAAAACAGAAGTGGGGTTGAGTTTTTTAGGGACAGGAGAAATGATAGAGTGATTTAAGCCTTTTGGCATTCTACCAGAGGAGAAGAAATTTTTTACCCCCAGGATGATTTGATCTTTTAAGGTGGACCAAGAGGATTCGAAGAAAGCTGCAGTGAATCCATCCAGTCCTGGTGCACTATTAGGGTCCATGGCCATTAGAGCATCTTTGATCTCCTCCTCACTCACTTCCTTGATCAGAGAATCATTCATTTCTGTTGTAATGGATTTTGGGATTCCTTCCAAACTGCATTTTTGCATCCGCGGGGCAGATGACTTGAAGAGGTTGGCAAAATATGCTGTTAATTCCTCAAAAGTCTCCTGTGTAGATTCACATGCAGTCCCAAGCTTTAAGTAAATTGTCCAACGAGTTGGCCTTCATTCTATTTTGAACACAAGCATGAAAGAAAGCAGAATTCATATCTCCTTCTTTCAGCCAGCTGATTCTTGCTTTTTGGGACCAGTATATCTCATCATTTTTTGTATGCCCGGTTGAGCTCAAATGTCAGTCTATGCCAAGCAGCCCAATCTCTGTCTCCTCCTTCCACAACTAGTTGAGTGAGGCTCTCTTTACATCTTTCAATATTTTTCAATGAGTTGGTTTTATGAGAAGTTTTCCAGCCAGTCAATGCTTTCCTGACCTTTCTTATTCTCTCTTTGAGGCGGAACACATCCTTCCCTGTCACTGAATCGTTCCATGCATTTTCAACTACTTCAGCAAAACCAGGCATATTAGACCACCTTTTATCATATGTAAACCTTTTCTGACTGATTTCAAAAGTACCAAGAGTATTCAAGATTAGCATACTGTGGTCAGAAGATGATGCATGAATGTGCTTAACTTGGCCATTTGGATATTTTAATTGCCATGCAGGGGAGAATAGAAACCTATCAAGCCTTTCTTCAATAAAATCCCTCTCTTGCATATTATTGGCTCAAGTATATGGATGACCCACAAAATTACTATCTATAGCTCCTAGGCCAGTAAGAAAATTCCTGAAGCTAGCAAAGCTACTATCTTGTCTTAATTGTTAGAGTAGTATACCCAGAGTTCCAATTTGATTGGACGTATTCTACTTGTAAATACGATCTATTGGAATTATATTGTTAATAAGGCATTTCTTTATCTTAAGA